TTTTTTTTTTTTTTTCAATTAACTACCATCACCTATCACATCTGAAGATGTATTTGATCATACGTGCGAGATTGTGAACTTTGGCGATTACTTCCTCTTGCATTAAATTGAAACACATAGCGATGAGTGCCATACCTAAGATATCACACAAGGATGGATATGAATAGGATTTCCTTTGAACAATATTTAACTTTAATTTGACCCTTACCAAGCATGAGATACATGAAACAGAAGATGAAGGATAATTCTAGCCCTTGTCCAGAGTAAATTCTATCACCTGGTACTATATCACCAAATCCTATGGTTGACAATGAAACGAAACAAAAGTACGAACCATCCAACATATTCCAGTCTTCCCATTTTGAAAATAGCAAAGCACCTGCTATTACGTACCTAACAATAAGAAAAATCAACATAATGTTTAATGTTTTCTACGTTAAAAGAATATTTTTGGTCAAGATTATCCTACCACACATTAAATTATTTTTTAATTATATATAATATTAAGTATATTTAATATTTTATATATGAGAAAACTTAAATTATTTTTAAGTACTATGTAGGATTTCGACTTACCCTACCATAATTCCCAGACATAATGTTAGTGGTACGGTAACTTGTTGCGGATCATATTCGCTGCTACTGATATCATCATTAATTTTATTCATACTATCGATTTCATTGTTATAATTCATTTCTATTTCGTTAATATCTTGATCAACGCTAGAAGTTTCTGTTTCACCTTTGTGCTGCATAATTAATCATAATCTTGCATTATTCTTCTTAAAAAAAAATATTTTTACAAAACATACTGACCTGCCAATGATTTCTTTGAACGTTTATTTCTGCTCGTGTTTGTAATACTTCAACGGTAATTGGTTCCCGATGTTTTTTATGACATCTAAAAAGTATCAACGTAAATTCAACGTATTGAAAAATTATGAAAAAATAAATATTTCTATTAAATCTTACTTGCAAAGACAACAACGTGCATAAATCCACTTGAAACTTCTTGCAAAAATATCACCTATGTTGCTCAAATAAAGAAGGAACAATGGCATACCAATTATGGCATATATTATTGTACACAATTTACCCCATTTTGTTCTAGGACAAATGTTCCCATATCCTTGAATGAAATGTGAAAAAGAAAAAAAATCTACTAATTGAAAGTATTCAATGTCTACGTTCTTAATTTCATATCTCAAATATATTTTCATTAGAGTAACGAGCATTAAAAAATAGATCAAGAGAATGAGATAAAGAGAAAAAAAATAAATGATCTTTCTTACCAATAGTCGTAATGACAGTGAGAGAGTACAGAAATGCTCCAGCAAAAGTCCACTTTTTATGTTCCTCATTAACAACCTCATAACCGTTTCGTATATTTTTCACCATTTTTTGTTGATACCTTTCTAATATATTCCTAACTTCTTTTTTCCATAATCTTTCAGAGAATATGTTCTCCTATATGTTAAATAAATTACATTAAGTTCACTGTTAGTTCATAAATTTATATCTTTATTATTTTAGGATGTTCAGGATATTACAAAAATATGCAGAAAAATCTAAGGATTTTTTTTTTTATGTCTAAAGAAGAAAAATAATTAAAATTAATATGGACCTAGAAAAATGTTCAATTTCTGAGTTATAAGTCAAGTATAATATTATCTTAGTGTACTCCAATTATGTTTATTTGCTAATAGACTCTGTTGATATTTTCTTATATCAAATGATCAGAATGTTTGCTTCTTGCTGAGTTTATATTCATTACGAGTACAAAATATAACTTATGGTTGTGATTACGGTAATTTATTAGTGGCTGCTAAAGATATTCAGTAGAACAAAAAGTTCAACAGACGTAGTCGCAGATATGTAGCACACAATGTAGCTAATGTTTTGAATTTAATGTCAGCAAATTAATTAAATGTAATTAGACAATATTAATTGTTAGATCATACTCTTGGAAATAAATGAATTATTTTCGAACTTGATGATGATATAAAAACTATTTTTCTTCTCAACGTATGAGGAATCAATTTCAGAAGTTTCTTTCGCTTATTTTTGTTATTCCGTTTATTCTATTAGGGGTATCAGAAAGTTTTTTCGTATTTGAAAGATGGGAAAAAGTCTTTGAAAGTTGGGACAAGGTAATTGAAAGATGGGAAAATGAAATTGAAAATAACGTCAATATATTTACTTATTCTATTATTTTCATTCGAAGTTTTAGTATAAAAATGAAAAAACTTTTTGATATCTTTAATAAAAATGAGTTAATTATTATGACAGTGGAGGTGAGTCAAATAATTGAAAACAAAAAGAAATAAATTTGTATGATTTGCAATAAAAATTAATTGATATCATAATAATTAATATTAAATAAATAAATCTCTCACACACATAAAATATAAATGTAATCAACTTGTTGATTGATTGTTAGTCTATTGCCATAATTATTGGCACCAATGTTAATAAGGTATTGGACATACCTTCGAGGTCAAGTCCCAAAGTTTAGCAGCCGTGATGTTTCTTTGCTTGACGACTTCACCGGATATGTCCAAGCTGTCTTTGGCCTCAATATAAGTGAACAGGAAAGCACCGACTATAGTATAACCTACGAGCAAGCATACTATGCCAACGTTACTGAAGAGGAAGGCTATCAGTGCCCTGCTCCAGTCACATATCTTCTCGCTCCAAGGCTTCCGTCGTTTTCGTTTCCTTCTTTCACTTTGAAAACGATAACTTCCACGTTGCCACTGTCCGTTTGTTGATGACAGTCTTCGCATTGATTTGTTCGTTTCCATATTTTCTTCTTAAAAATTCAAATTTAATTTTTCAATAATTTTATCTTATCTTATATATATATATATATATATAAGATAAGATAAAATTATTGAAAAATTAAATTTGAATTTTTAAGAAGAAAATATGGAAACGAACAAATCAATGCGAAGACTGTCATCAACAAACGGACAGTGGCAACGTGGAAGTTATCGTTTTCAAAGTGAAAGAAGGAAACGAAAACGACGGAAGCCTTGGAGCGAGAAGATATGTGACTGGAGCAGGGCACTGATAGCCTTCCTCTTCAGTAACGTTGGCATAGTATGCTTGCTCGTAGGTTATACTATAGTCGGTGCTTTCCTGTTCACTTATATTGAGGCCAAAGACAGCTTGGACATATCCGGTGAAGTCGTCAAGCAAAGAAACATCACGGCTGCTAAACTTTGGGACTTGACCTCGAAGGTATGTCCAATACCTTATTAACATTGGTGCCAATAATTATGGCAATAGACTAACAATCAATCAACAAGTTGATTACATTTATATTTTATGTGTGTGAGAGATTTATTTATTTAATATTAATTATTATGATATCAATTAATTTTTATTGCAAATCATACAAATTTATTTCTTTTTGTTTTCAATTATTTGACTCACCTCCACTGTCATAATAATTAACTCATTTTTATTAAAGATATCAAAAAGTTTTTTCATTTTTATACTAAAACTTCGAATGAAAATAATAGAATAAGTAAATATATTGACGTTATTTTCAATTTCATTTTCCCATCTTTCAATTACCTTGTCCCAACTTTCAAAGACTTTTTCCCATCTTTCAAATACGAAAAAACTTTCTGATACCCCTAATAGAATAAACGGAATAACAAAAATAAGCGAAAGAAACTTCTGAAATTGATTCCTCATACGTTGAGAAGAAAAATAGTTTTTATATCATCATCAAGTTCGAAAATAATTCATTTATTTCCAAGAGTATGATCTAACAATTAATATTGTCTAATTACATTTAATTAATTTGCTGACATTAAATTCAAAACATTAGCTACATTGTGTGCTACATATCTGCGACTACGTCTGTTGAACTTTTTGTTCTACTGAATATCTTTAGCAGCCACTAATAAATTACCGTAATCACAACCATAAGTTATATTTTGTACTCGTAATGAATATAAACTCAGCAAGAAGCAAACATTCTGATCATTTGATATAAGAAAATATCAACAGAGTCTATTAGCAAATAAACATAATTGGAGTACACTAAGATAATATTATACTTGACTTATAACTCAGAAATTGAACATTTTTCTAGGTCCATATTAATTTTAATTATTTTTCTTCTTTAGACATAAAAAAAAAAATCCTTAGATTTTTCTGCATATTTTTGTAATATCCTGAACATCCTAAAATAATAAAGATATAAATTTATGAACTAACAGTGAACTTAATGTAATTTATTTAACATATAGGAGAACATATTCTCTGAAAGATTATGGAAAAAAGAAGTTAGGAATATATTAGAAAGGTATCAACAAAAAATGGTGAAAAATATACGAAACGGTTATGAGGTTGTTAATGAGGAACATAAAAAGTGGACTTTTGCTGGAGCATTTCTGTACTCTCTCACTGTCATTACGACTATTGGTAAGAAAGATCATTTATTTTTTTTCTCTTTATCTCATTCTCTTGATCTATTTTTTAATGCTCGTTACTCTAATGAAAATATATTTGAGATATGAAATTAAGAACGTAGACATTGAATACTTTCAATTAGTAGATTTTTTTTCTTTTTCACATTTCATTCAAGGATATGGGAACATTTGTCCTAGAACAAAATGGGGTAAATTGTGTACAATAATATATGCCATAATTGGTATGCCATTGTTCCTTCTTTATTTGAGCAACATAGGTGATATTTTTGCAAGAAGTTTCAAGTGGATTTATGCACGTTGTTGTCTTTGCAAGTAAGATTTAATAGAAATATTTATTTTTTCATAATTTTTCAATACGTTGAATTTACGTTGATACTTTTTAGATGTCATAAAAAACATCGGGAACCAATTACCGTTGAAGTATTACAAACACGAGCAGAAATAAACGTTCAAAGAAATCATTGGCAGGTCAGTATGTTTTGTAAAAATATTTTTTTTTAAGAAGAATAATGCAAGATTATGATTAATTATGCAGCACAAAGGTGAAACAGAAACTTCTAGCGTTGATCAAGATATTAACGAAATAGAAATGAATTATAACAATGAAATCGATAGTATGAATAAAATTAATGATGATATCAGTAGCAGCGAATATGATCCGCAACAAGTTACCGTACCACTAACATTATGTCTGGGAATTATGGTAGGGTAAGTCGAAATCCTACATAGTACTTAAAAATAATTTAAGTTTTCTCATATATAAAATATTAAATATACTTAATATTATATATAATTAAAAAATAATTTAATGTGTGGTAGGATAATCTTGACCAAAAATATTCTTTTAACGTAGAAAACATTAAACATTATGTTGATTTTTCTTATTGTTAGGTACGTAATAGCAGGTGCTTTGCTATTTTCAAAATGGGAAGACTGGAATATGTTGGATGGTTCGTACTTTTGTTTCGTTTCATTGTCAACCATAGGATTTGGTGATATAGTACCAGGTGATAGAATTTACTCTGGACAAGGGCTAGAATTATCCTTCATCTTCTGTTTCATGTATCTCATGCTTGGTAAGGGTCAAATTAAAGTTAAATATTGTTCAAAGGAAATCCTATTCATATCCATCCTTGTGTGATATCTTAGGTATGGCACTCATCGCTATGTGTTTCAATTTAATGCAAGAGGAAGTAATCGCCAAAGTTCACAATCTCGCACGTATGATCAAATACATCTTCAGATGTGATAGGTGATGGTAGTTAATTGAAAAAAAAAAAAAAAAGAAAAGAAAAGAAAACGTTCGACAAACATCTTCGAGTTTAATCGATCTGAGAAAGAAAGAAACAACGAAAAGGATTCAGAACAAAAGAAAATAATTACACCACGAACAACCACCTATTAGTCCTATCGTTTTCTTTCGCTTGGATTAATCTTATCAAACCCAACAAATAAAAAAAAAAACCCGCAAAGAACTCTAAGAAATACAAGTTTTACAATAGGTGATATTCGAAAACACACTTTTACGTTAGTAGTAGAAAAGCAAACAAAAATAGAACAGGAGCAAGAAGACCTTGGAAACTTCTTTCGCGTAAAAACAAGGGAGGAAGAGATTTTTCTTCAAAATTTATGGTACGTACTCGATAATATTTACGACTAACCTAATAGGATATTCTAATGCATCATTTGAATCTATGATAAGATGTGAACACGTTTCTTCCCAAACGTTTAACTTTTTTACTTAAAAATTTACTCGAACACGTTTCGAAGTTGCTTGCCAAGAACAATGATGAAAAAAAAAGAAAAAAAAAGGAAGAAAAAGCAGACGCGAGAATAATAAATTATTCCAAAACGCACACCAATACCGCATCAACGTGATTTTGGCGTTATTCCGACATACGTCATAGGCAAATCCTTTAATGTTAAATCAATAATCGTTCCTTATTAATCGGACGAATTCCAATTGGACGAATTAACAATGAACGACCGCGAAAACTCATCACCCTATTAACGAGAAATTTTCGAAATATGTGACATTATCAAAGAACGAATTGTTTATCTCATTATTAGCTTTTACCCTGGAGAGATGACTGACAACAAGTGGTTGCCGTCGTTTTCGGAGGAAATTAATAGACGATTGGGCAATCAATTTCTGCCTAACTTTCGAAAAGCAATGATAAAGTGTAATATTCGACTGAAATATCAAAAAGAGAAAGGGAAGGAGAGAAGGAGAGTTTCATCTTTGACAGGAAATTAATCTTGACAGAATCTAAACGGTCGAATAACTAAACGACGTCGATAACGGAGAAGACGAAACCCCGAGAGAGAGAGAGAGAGAGAGAGAGAGAAGAAAAAAGAGAAAGAACGATGTTAAAGTAGTAGTAGTACTGGTAATAGCAATGATAGTGATGATGATGCTAGTAATAGTAGTAGTAGTAGTAGTAGTAGTAGTAGTAGTAGTAGGAGTAGTAATAGAAGTAGAAGAAATGTAGTAAGTCCATATATATATATATAGGTACAATGTCGAGGAAAAAGGTTCTTTCAAGAAAAAGCTGTTATCGGGGAATACAGGGTGTATTAAAGTAAGAAAAGCGGAACGCACTCGTGAAAAGTCGAATCTTTATTATCGTCCCAGTGGAGGTGGGTAGGAAGGGACACCTGGAGTTTAAGCGAAGCGTTGTAGGATCGCCGTTGGAACGATCGACACGAAGAAGATTCGGGCATCGACGTAAAGCAAAGCCCTGAGCTTTCTCAGTGATCGTCTGTAGGAAAAGAAGAGAGAGAAATAGAAAGAGAAAAAGAGAGGGAGGGAGAGAGAGAGAAAGAGAAAGAGAAAGAGAAAGGGTGGTTTAGGGATAGGAACAGGGTGGATGGTGGCAAGAGGTGAAGGAGAGAAAAGAAAACGGATGGAGAGGGGTAAGAAGAGACAGAGGAGAAAAATGGAAGAGGGGTAGGAAGAGAGAAATGGAGGTGCGCCGCTCCTTTATGCGGCTCTACTCACGGGCTGGCGCACATGCGCCTCAACAAAACGCGGATCTTGCGCCCTGCAGCTTCGATGGGGTGCGTCCGTGCCGGCGACGCTCCTCGTAGACGAGCTTCGTTGATTCGTACGATCTCTGTCTCCCGATCACGTCTCCAATTGTGTCACGTCTTTTCTCCTTTAACTCGTCTACTTGTCTACTCGTTGTATCTCGTACTTTCAAGAAAACTCTTCTTTAAGATTAATTCAAATCTTTTTTTATATCATCGTGATCATTGTTTAACTGTTAAACAAATATTCATATCTTCAGTGAGGAAGATTCATATTTCTTTTGAACTGTATTCGATTAACGAATATTTTCTACCTGGGTAAGGATCACGAGAAGAAGAAGAAGAAAAAGAATAAGAAGAAAGAAAGAAAGAAGATTCTATCTGGACCACCCAAAGAGGGAGTTGTTCAGTGTTGCTTAGGTAGGAAGAGGAAATACTTTGAGGAAATTCGATACTCGTGATTTAAATTTATTTTTTAATTTATTTTAATTCATTTTTTTATTTGACTTCAATTATCTTTTATTTTAATTTATTCTATTATTATATAGATCTCTCTCTCTCTCTCTCTCTCTCTCTCTCTCTCTCTCTACTCTTAAATATNCCTTTTCTTTCTTATTATTTCGACGTTGTGAGATGTGGAGAGAAAATTAGAAAAAATTAGGAACAAAAAAAAGAGATATATATATATATTATTTCGACGAACTTGAAAATAATAAGAAAGGTCGTATCGTTTGAGGAACCATCAAGGATTCCTAAAAGAATTGTTAAAGTTCGACTTGTGTGTCAAATATACACACTCGGGTATCATCGGAATTATTTTGCTTACTGACAACGGACACAGATTTCTCGTGTTCTCGTCGTGTTCAATACTTCGTGAGATGTTTCCTCACATTTCGTCGTTGTTCAAACATTCGTTATACGTTATATTCAATTACAAACATTTGAATATATCTAACGAAAATAATAATAATAATAAGACGATTTTGAGTAACCCTCGAGAAGAAAATTCGCGTTTCATTTCGAAAATTCGATAATGGAAAAACGACAAAGACTTTGCGCGACCATCCTTTGAATATTCGAAACGGCAGCTTTAAATGGATCTAATTAAGTGATTCTTCTGAATGATGTGCCCTTTGAATCAAAATTTTACTTTCAGTTGAAATATTTCGACGTAAAACTTTGTCCGACGTAATCGAAGAAAGTGAAAAACAACAGTCGAAGATGAGCATTACATTTTTTGTTGTCTAACGAGAGAGTAATTAAATACATTGCCTATACGTATATCATTGATTTATCTTGTGTGTCGACTAACGAATTATTATTATTATTATTATTATTATTATTATATTACGAAGAAAATTCCCTAACGCGAACGTATATACGAAAATAGGTAAATCTATGTACGTCGTTGAATGACATTTTCAATTAACTTTTTAACCAATTTCTAATACTATCTCGTGTATATCGAATTTAGAAATTTGTCATCGTCGAGTGTGTGCCAGTGATATATACAATCATAAATTTAAAACAACAAAAAAAAGGATATTTCATTAACGAACTTCTAAAATTCGATAAATCTCATACATTTTTTCTACCAATTTATCTAATTCTCTATTTCTATCTCCATTTCTCTCTCTCTCTCTCTCTCTCTTTTTGTAAAATGAAATTTTGGAAAAAAGAAAAGGAAGAAAAGTTCATAAAGGTAAAATAGTTCGAGAAGAAAGTGGAACGAAAGGTGGCTATTATTTTCAAATGCATCGGCCACAAAACGTCGATAGAGACGAAATAGCCGTCGAGAAGCCAAGGATGTCACGTGAATCCCTCCACGGAAGATAGGACACGTTTCATAAAGTTTCATGCTCGGTACTAGGAGCAAGAGGAAAAAGTTTCTTCCACTTCGGTGAACCGATATGCTCGACGACACGGCCGTAGGAAGTCGAAAACCGATACGATAGAGAAGGGAAAGCGATCTCTGATAAGGTGCGAAGGAAGTTACAAAGCTCTACAATATATATACATGTATATATATGTGTGTGTATGTATGCATGTATGTACATACATGTATATATGCATGAGACGTTCACAGGCCAAAACGATTAACTCTACTTTAAAAATTTTTTAAAAATTTTTATTAACAAATTATATCATAGTAACTTCACTATTTAAATTTAAAATATATTTTATGAATAATTAAACTTAATAATTTATTATTTAATATTAAATTATATACGACTGTGTGTAGTGGGTGTACCAAAAGTTCATTTACAGATAGAGACAACAATTAATATTAATTTAAATGTAATTACAGTCTTTTGTTTTACATTTTAAAATATGAATCTACAATTGGTTTTGTGTAAAAAAAATATTTAAAATATATTTCTTTGAATAGTTTGGCTTAATAATTTATTAATTATTTAAATACAAATCGTTTCATCTAAAAAGAATTAATAAATTTATAATATTTTCAGTTTGGTAAAGTAACTTTTGGAGCACTCTGTTTGATAAATAACTTTTGATCAATTATTTTACTCTTTATTAAGCGGAGTTAATCCATTTGGTCAAAATCTAGTTGTATATACGTATAAATATTTCTCTAACGATTGAATCCCTTTAAAAATATTGAAAATCCAAACACCAATATTTGAATTTACATAAACAATTCTATCGATCACATACAGAAATAATTGTTTTTTCTTTCATCAAATTCTTTATAATAAAATATATAAACCGTTAAATATTATATAAAATTAGGTTCGAATAATTTCTTATTATCCAAAGACCATTTACGTAGTTGACATACACTACACACAGTGTCCATAGCACAATTTTGCATTTGCCATTTGCCACTGCTCTGATTCCTGACATCACCTTCAATGAACATGTTTCCTTCGTTCTATAATCTTCGATCGATATTTAACATCTGCTTCCTAGTTAACCCCTTTGATAACGCGAGTATAAATATAGTTTATTAGATATTTATTTATATCTCGTTGAAACTAAGATTCATAGTTTTTAACCTTTCCAATATTAGAATATTGGATTATCCAAAAAATTCGCGTGCCGATTAATAAATATATATTTTTTTAATATCTATTATTTAAATTTTATATAAAATACATGGATGGGAATTGACAAGTTTTGAGCCTTAAGAAAAAAACTTTCATTCTTTTAAATATAAATGTTAATTTACCTAAAAAAAAACAATTGTTTTTAAACTCAAAACTTTTCAATTTACTCATGTATATTAGGAATATATATTTTACCTTACAATTATTAATATTATAAAGTAAATTTATAAATATACATTTTTCTAAATATTCATCCATCAAAGTTTTTTTCAAAAATAAGCCAAAAATTGTCCAGAAAATATATATTTACCAATATATTTTATATATATCACAATTATTTGTATTATATAAAAAATAAATCATAAAATTAATTTCTATTTATTTGTTATTAGCTTATTGTCGTTAATATCTATACATATGTAATATATATATGTAATCGATCGATTGAATATTTGGATGAATATTCGAAATAGCGTTTCAATAACTCCGGGTGAAAACAAATAAAAAATGTAAATAACTCGTAGAGACGCGGATAAAATCGCTTTGACGAAGTATCAGACACGGTGTGACATTCTCAGCATTTCCCTTTCAGTATTCCTCTCTTTTTTTCCCACCCGTTTTTTCACGTTCCATCTTTCCCTTGAACTATTTTCTTTTCACGGAACTTGAAACTCAACGACCGTATAGCGCAGATCTATTACCACCGTTGCACTTGCACATATATACATACATACACATACATACACGAATTATATCGTAACGGTCTCACTTGTATCTGTGCTAATTACATTAAACGAGAGAAACGGGTTAACTCTATCGGCGTGATTTGTTCTTTCTTTTGAAACGAAAACGAAAACAAAACTACGAAAATAAAAAAAAAGAAAATAAAAATTAAATACCGACGTAGTTGTTTCTAAAAAAACAAGTAAAAGATAATTTATTCCCCAAATAAATAACTTTACACTTATCTTGTTTTTTTTTTATTATTTGCAGAGAAAAAAAATATAGCAAGATAACTCGAAGAATGTGCAAGCATAATTTACGGAACCATATGAATTATCCACGTCGTAAATAACTAGGTACGTGTTGACTCTTATATTTATTAAGATTGATAACAGAATATTTATCTGTTTATATATACAGAATATCTTGTAACTAATGATAAAAGCTAGCAGGATTCGATTCTATATGAAAAACTATTATAATTGTAAGTCGAAAATGTAGAATGATATTTGTTCATAAATAAAGGTTTTCTTTTTGAGAAACATAAGTTTGAAAATTTGTCGAATACGCGTGCACTTGATTCCATTTCAGTTAGACGAATATTTCGAAAAACATTTTTGTGCTTCTTAATATGTTTACGAACATTTTCAGTGTGATAAAATCTCTTATATCGGTTCTATTCTTATGCTTATCGAGTAACGTTTTTTGTTATTAAGATTACAAGCTTAGTACACAAGTACTGAGTGGAACATAGTTAGAAGACCACTGCTTTATATGAACAAATTTGATTCAATATTTTATCAATCCTTGTTTTCTTGTATTACCAGTTACAGGATAGCCAATATATAATAGAAATAGGACATAGATTTTTCATCAGTTTCAATCCTACGTTTCTAAATGTTTCAAATTGATTTTATTCAAACGCAAAACGTAACTTCTGTTTCCATGTTTTGTTTCAATCTCGCGAAAACGAGTATCTATGAATAATACCTAGTTGCATAAATGTCTACTCTGTTCGGGGAAATTCTCAATTTATGCGTACCAGCTCGTAATCTGTATGAGATATAGATTAGGTCCGTGTTAATTTGTGGTATATGGTAGATATACATGTAATGTATGTATATATACATATATTTATTTATGAATATGTATACCTGATATTTCTAACTACCAGTCAAAAGTTTATAATCATTACGTAAATTCAGATAAACAGAATATTTAGAAGAAAAAATGAATACTTTTGGAGTAATCAACAAAAACTTTGTCAACAAAACTTATGAACAGTACGTTTTACATTTTATATTATCTTTTTCGAATTACCATTTCATCAAAAAAAAGTGCCTTTACTTTTAACGACAACCACACATATGCCGGACATTCATTTCTAAATTAATATTTAGAAGTTAGCAAAGATGTCCCAGTAGAAAAACTTTCAAGTATTTCCTTAAGCCAGATGCAAGAACTATACAAGAAAATTATCAGTGTAAGAAAATACCGAAATCTCTTAAAACGTTATTAAAACGATATAATGTATGTGTGTATGTGTGTGTGTGACGATAAGTCATTTTAAAATTTATAAATATATTAGATGTTTACGGAAATCAGGTAGCAATTACAAAATTTTGGTCTGTAATGTGTATGTTCAATCCAGCATTAACGTTCAAACTAAACGTTCATTAATCATTTTCGAAACTCGACTTGAAATAAGCTATGAGCAGCAATCAAACAATTCCTCGGTGTGACAGGTCGGACATCTCACCAGATGGATGAAGACGACAACGCCAAAGGAACGTTAGAACAACGATAGGACGTTACCGCTTGCGGCTGCAGCTGCGGCGTCGATCGCTGCATCTGCAGCTGCGGCGGCAGCGGTAGTGGTAGTGGCGTAGTAATTAGGCGGCATAATGATGCAAAACACCGGCGACTATTACCAAAGGGCACCGAGATGTTGTCCCGGACGAAACGGCGGGAACACCGATTCCCTGAGAATCAGCAGTTCGGTACGAGGTGCTGAATTGCTTTGTTGTTGCTGTAGTTGCAGCACGTCCACTTCAACGAACACACCAGGATTACTAGCCAGCCTTGGTGTTTGCGTTCTTGTACTTGGTTACACCCTTCTTGGTGCGTTCGCTTTTATGGCACTAGAGGGTGGACTTAAATCGGTGAGAATTCAAAATCACGAAAGATTTCGAACTAACAAGTATATAAAAAAAAATTCTATTCTAATAAGAATCAATATTATTGTATACTCAATAGGAGTCTTTGATAAATGTCTCATCGAAAATTGTAAAAAGTGAGGAAGGATCGTACAGTCTTTCAACGTTTGAGGACGAAAATGCTGCTACTGAGTTAAGGGCAAAGACTGTCGAAAGGCTTTGGAGTATCACTGAAGATTTGAATATTCTTTATAAGGAGAATTGGACTCGACTAGCAGCAAAAGAAATTCAAGAATTTCAAGATAATCTTTCGCGTAGATTGGGGCGTACGTCAACACCCTTTGAACCAACTCATCAATCGCGAAATAACGAAGTGGATAAACGACGATGGACTTTCAGTGGCAGTCTGCTTTATTCTCTAACACTCATTACTACCATAGGTAAATAATGTGCTTTATTAAAGTAGTATAAAGTATCAGTATAGCGTAAGAAATTGAGGAGTATATAATTAACTGTTTTGGTTCGTAGGATATGGTAATGTAACTCCGCGTACAGTCTGGGGTCGCCTAATTACCATAATCTACGCTTTAGCTGGTATACCTCTTATGTTGGTTTATCTAAGCACCGTGGGCGACGTTCTTGCTAGAAGTTTCCGACGTTTGTACGGTCGCATGTGCATTCCACGAAATTGCATTAAAAAACAACAACCGCCGCCGCCTCCGCCGCCAGTAGGTGGTATCATGAGCAAGTCATACCGTTATGATAATCATATAGAAACAAAGGCGGGAAATTATTATTCAACTAGTCGCGATAGTTCTTGCGACGATCTTGGAACACGAGGTACGAACAGTGCCATATTACTCGATTGTGGTAGCGAAGGCCTCTTGCATGCTACCACTAGTTCAACGACTGCTCTTCAGGTAAAATTCAGATCAAATCTAATTAACGAGGATCGTATTCTTTCTGAGATTAATATACATGCAAAATATTGATGTTATCTAGGATACAATGGCAGGCAATGGTAAACGCCATTTGCAACCGTGTTCGTTATCACCTTCCTCGAGTTCATCACCAGCGTATATGATGGAAACGTATTCTGTTAGAATACCCATTAGTTTGTGCCTGGTAATAATGCTGTTATATATATGCGGTGGTGCAGTGATGTTCAATCACCTGGAGGGTTGGAGTCTTCTAGAAGGTGGATATTTCTGCTTCACGAGTCTCGGCACCATTGGATTTGGAGATCTGATGCCGACCGGACGCAACGCCCCATCCACTACCCTGGAAGAACTCAGCCTGTGTGCCTGCTCGTTGTATATACTCGCTGGAATGGGCCTGATAGCCATGTGCTTCAACCTCGTCCAGGAGGAGGTGGTACGCGTGGTCAGGGTCTTCGGTAGAACCTGTGGCATGTCATCGGGTGTGGTGGTCGGCCCTATTGGTGGTACAGGTATCCCTGACGAAGACAGATTCAATGGGGAACGAGTAGAGAGACCTTTTGAAATGAATTTTCGTCTATAAAGCTCGGCTTCCATGAAAGATCAAAATTATTTTTCAATAATGAATACGAAATAAAATCGTTTGAAGTTAAACATTAAAGTAATGTTACACTTTATATCAATTGAAATGGCGACATTTATTGAACAAATCAAATTGATTAAGCCCTTAAATTGAAATTATAATTAAAAGCATCGTACGTCTTTTAAAAAGTCTATAACAAAATATTAGATATCCATTAATGTTCAAGTAGTGTTCAAGATATCGGTAAAAGGTATTTTTTGTAATTTGTATTTGTCAATAAACGGTAAATTGATTAAAGAAGCCCTGATCATTAAAAACATCGATGAAAATATTTCAAATGTTTCGTAAACGGAAATATCTTCAGGATATCCTGTGCTGTCTACTGGGCTAGTAAAAATTTTAATAAATACAGCTGTTGTGTGTTACCCCACTATCATCTACTCAACAAATATATTGCTCAATTGATTTTCCATTGTTTTTGTCCGTAATAGGGACCGCACCTGGAATCAAAGCCGAACTCGACGATGGAGGAGGTACCAGTGATTCAAGATTGTCAGAACAAGAAGAAGAAGCGATCGCCATGTCCACGGTGCCGTCATCTTGACAACACCAGGCCAGGATCCCTAGTGACGGGAAACTCCTGGCCCACCCGTCGAGTACTGCCATGAAATTGTCACCCGGTCATCATTCTTTGCCACGTAAAAAGTCATCAGCCGACAAAAATCTCTCAGCATCTCAGATATTTCAACGTGGTCATCCAACGAGACGTAGCTGTTTATCGCCACAATATCATCATCAACATCATCACCAACATCGCCAACAAGAAAGTTCACTACATTTTGAATATTTTGTACCAAGGAGTGTTAGCGAATTTAATTTAGCTGCTACTGTGGTTACCGACATCGCAGTAGCACCTTTACCTCCAACATCAGCACTACGACCCTCTTCAGTAATCACGCCACCAGTTTCTGGCCTTATAACCAACACATCAGCAACTAATCAAGGACGTCTATTGGATGCTTCCAATACTACAACAAGAAGTCGAGAAAAAATGGTTACGTTTGAGGACGAAGGTGTTAATTCTGCTGGATCAGCATCTAATAGAAAAAATTTATCCAGCATTGATAATACTTTCATGTGATGAATGAAAAGAATGTGGAAAAGGATAAAAAAACGTGAAACTATTAATGTGAAGGATATTGACTTTAAGTGAGATTACAAATTCGTTATATCTAAAAAAGAAAAAAGAAAAAAGAAAATAAATAAAATAAATGGTTTGAGATATCTATTTGGATTAGAAAATATAAACAAATTTAGCTGACAATTGAAAAGAAAATAAATACGAAGCAAGAAATAACGAAACGATTCTAAAAAGACAAACGTTCTTTTCTAACTAACATATGCCATTATCCAAAAACAGATTGATTATAAATAGAAATTACACCAAACAAAACTTACGAAGTACTTTATTTACCAAACTTTCAGTTATCATACAATAATCATGTACTCAGGGTATTGATAATGTAAAAAAAAATCTTTCATACATGCTCTAACGACTGAATACAGTTTTCTAATCTAACCAATGGAAATATGAAAGTAAGAAAATACTTTTCACTCTTGCTAATTTCCTGATATCAAATATCTAATTACATAGTACAAGAATAAAAGGCTAATATCAGAATATAAAAGAATTACATCTGCTGATACTCTGGTTGATAAAAAAAGAAAAGATGCCTTCTAATACGAATCGTTCAAAAACATTCATTCAAAACCGACATAATGATAAAATATATAAATCAGAAATATTATCTATGTCTATTATTTAATGCGCATGGAAATCAAGGTATTTAAAAATTATGAGAAAGTGGATAATAATGTCACCGAAAAACTAAAGTGCACAAATATTCTGATATTTATCATTTAAATAAATTGATTATGAACAGTTTAATTATTATATTGAAAGTAATGCACCAATAGATTTTTTTTATTAAAGTTCCTTTTCAACTGTGTTCATTTATAATTGACTAATTAAATCTCTTTGACATATGAATACAATATTGACTGAAAAAATAAAACGTGAGTTTATAGCATATCAAGAATTATTATCATTACGTTTCTCAAACGATTATTTTCGTTTAATGAAAAAATATATTTATATATGTTAAAGAAAATATTTAAAAAGAAAAAAATATTAAAGAAACGATAAAACTATTGCTTGCACAAATAATCCTGTATAATTAATTGTAAATATTTAAATACATATGCTGTATAACGACAACTTCGATATATTCATGTACAGATTAAACAAAAAAAATTATAAAAAACCATAAAATTATTGGAGTACTACTTTCCAAATAAACTATTGTAAGACGGTGGTATTTCTCCTCTTAGCTTTTTAATTAATTGTGCGATAATGCACTTGCTATTTGTATAAGTATGATTAATTATTAAAGTAAATATTTAATAAGAATTTATTAAATGTGACAGTGACATTTGAAAATTGCAAAATGAATTTTAAAAAGTGCATTTAAATACATCACTTGTGGTGTTTAAATATCGAAAACGATTGGATATGTTTTTCTCTTGCGTTCGATGTAAAGAAAAATATACGTTCCTTATTCAAAATATATATTTTTTATAATCATTTCAAGTTCCTTTACAATTTCTTTGCAATTTACTTTGTCAACGTATACACGTGTGTTTTTATTTTTATATAATTTTATAGAATTAATTCGTGCACTGTGTTCAAAATTATAAAATAAATATTTTTTACAAATTTTTTATATTTTAATATCATAAAAAACTTACTAATTATATCATTGAACATAGAGTACAATTTCTTTAATATCTTCGTTTCAATAATCCAAATGATTTTTTTTATTATTTCTTTTATAAACCAAATTCGAATTGATCTTTGGGGTTGATGGGATTTTTGTAGAATGTTTAAATATTAAATTTGTTATTATCTCTGGAAATATATACAAAATATAAAAGTTAATAATTTAATTCTAAAACGATGATATAACAATAATGACAAAATAATGTTATAAATATTCAATAATGTGATAAATGTTTCTTGTATTCATTGATGCATATTATTTGTAAAAAATTTTCAAAAGTAGTGATTTTAATTATACAAAGAAAAAAATATAAATAATAATAAAAGATAAAAATAATATATCAAACCTTTTAATCTATTTATCAGATTAGTTTGGGTGCCATAACCAAATTCTTTGTTATCTAATTTGTCTTGTACGGTTTCATAAACTACACATCCAACATCAGCAACATGATTAAATATAAATTGTAAGGTGCAAACCACAATGATTACGAGTATCGGTAAACACATGGTAGTTTCAACATCATCCAAAAATGCATTTATGTATTCAGGTAAAAAATTGTTACACATTCTTAATTTTTCCTTATCACTTAATTGTCAATTTGTTCTTCTTAGTCAGATTTGAATAATTACCGAGAAAATTTCAATCTTTTATAATTATCTATCTAAAAATAAAATACATTGTACACGCGCACCTTCATAAACTTTAATTTGAAAATACATGACCGATATTCATTGTAAATTTGATTGATGATGATTGAATTAATTGAATTAATTATATTTAAATGATGTGTTGTCAAGTGAAGCAAATTAATAATATTGTGATTGGTCGAACTATTATTCTAGTTATTAAATAAATTTCTGATATGTTTTAAACCAACCAATCAGCGATTGTGTTTTATAAAGTGTTACAATTACAAATTTCAAATTAGATATAACACTTTCAAAATATTAAGTCTCGAATTTAATTAAATTATAAATGATAAACAGTCTTACAATTAATGTCGCCTATGATTATATAAACAAAACAAAAATCATAAAACATTTATTTCAAACTATCTATAAGTAAACTTTAATGTGTTTGGAATTCCAATGGCGTTAACATGGTTACCGAAAATTATTTAGAATCACGGAAATGTTCTTTAACAGATTCGTTTAATAAAAGATATATGAGACAAAGTTTTATTTAAAAAATCGTCATGATTGATACAGACGATGAGATAGAAGCATTAGAAAATTTCCGAGATGATCAAGAAAATTATAATCAAAAAATATTTAATGAAAGTGGGCCAAAATATTATGATGTAAAAACACATATTTCAAAACCTTTTCGTGTTCCAAATGGTACTGTACCTATAAATATTTTAGAATTTGAGTATCCTTTAAAAAAAATCCAAACTGTATTTTAAAGTAAATTACAAAAATTTATTTGAAATTGTAATTAAAATTAGTATATTTTCTTAACGGTAAACAATAGTCATTCTTTTTCATACGATTGTCAGAAATATTTTAATTTTTGTGTAGCTGATCCAAATACAATTATTTTTGCTTCTGGTAATATAATTCATTTTTTAAATGTAACTACAAGAACAATATGGTTTCAACGAGGTGCGACGGGAGGTGGAATTGGACATATAACTGTGCATATCGCTTTTAATTCAAATCTTTTCTGAAAATTAATAAATTTAATCTAACTTTTTTTGCATAGAAAAATCCAATGTTTGATCATATTGCTATCGCTGAAAATGGAATTGATCCACTGATAACTATTTATCATTGGCCAAGCATGAAAATTGTAATGTGCCTTCATGGTGGTACAAAAGAACAATATTTTCATTTACATTATAGGTAACAATGATTATAAAAGTATATATTTATCATGTATCTGTTTATATCTAATAATCTGGTTAAAAGATTCAAGTATATAACAAATTTTAACGCATTATTATTACACTTTAGTATGGATGGCTTATTACTAGCTTCTCAAGGAGGAAAACCAGATTATTTTATAACAATTTGGAACTGGCAAGAATCTAAGATTTTATTACAATCTAAATCGCACTCTCAGAATGTTTATAATGTAATTTTTTCTACATACATACCTGGGAATTTAATTTCATGTGGTTTGGGACATATTAAATTTTGGAAAATGGCAAAAACTTTTACCGGTCTTAAACTTGAAGGTCAACTCGGAAAGTTTGGAAGAACTGAAATTTCAGATATTATCGGTGCTTATCAAATGCCTGATAAAAAGGTATATTATAACAAATACCTTATTCTTGTTTATACTATTTCAATATTGTCATTTTATTTTTCAAGTTATAGGTAGTATCAGGTTGCGAATGGGGTAATATTTTGCTATGGGATGAAAATTTGATTAAATTGGAAATTTCTAGAAAAAATAAAGAATTTTGTCATACAAAACCTATTGTACAATTAGAATATATCAATGCAGAGCTCTTCACTGTTGGTAGATAATAATTCCATAATATAACAATGAATTGTATTATTGGATAGAATTAAATTAAATATGTTGCTTATATTTGTAGGAATGGATGGTTTCATACGTGTTTGGTTTTATGATACTATAGATTTGGCAAATCCAACAGAAGAAGATCCATTTCTTGAAATGCTACCAATTTATGAATTTTGTATCACTGAGGATGAAAACAAAAATTCACAAAAAAATGCAATGCTAATGGGCATACAAAGACAAGAGCCAGATAATCCTGAGAATACTTTTTGGTATGCTCAGGTAAATTATTTTTAATTTTGCTCTATCTTCTCTCAACAACTATACATTACTACATATATTTGGATTTATATATAAATAAGAAGAATTACTTTTTATATAAAAAATACACAGGATGGCAATGGTGGTTTATGGCTAATAGACTTGAATACTTTTAAAGAACCAGAATTATCACAAAAAATATTTACTTGTCATGCAGGAGCTATAAGCGATATGGATGTTGCAGACTGGGGACCGTTCGTTGCAACTATTGATATAGCTGGTCGTTTACATATTTATAATTACACAGAAAAGAAATTAATTCTTACTTATCATTTTCGTGATTCTGGTAAACAAGTCATATGGATTCCAAGTAAAGTGAGTTATTTTATTATTTATTTTAATATACAGTACATCTACAATCCCCCCTTCTATTCTGAAGTAAAAATTAATTTTACTTTTTAGGTTGATGCGACTGGATCTGCACTTGTATGCGCTTTTGATACTGGTATTATTCGTATGGTTATCGTTGCAGTATTAACTGCTAATGAACAGAATAATATAAAAGAAAATTTCACTAAATTAGTTCAAGTTTTGAAACCACATTCGCAATCAATTAACGTAATGTCAGTGAATCCATCGTGCAGGTATAATAAAATATTACATAAAATATTTATAATCTTCATTAATTATATAAGTATAAGAAAAAGAAATAATAGTGAGAAGTATTGTTTCAGTTTATTAGTAACAGGTAGTGATGATTCTACTATATTTGTATTTAATATTTCTACTACTGTTACTTATCCTACTCTTCAGCCAATTGGTTACATTAATATGCCTTCGGAGATAACTTGTATGACATGGAGACCCAAACATGTTAGTATTGATATCTTTTTCTCTGATCATAATCAATATTTATTTTAAATATAATTTTAAAATAATCATACTTTTTTTTTAGGAATCAATGTTATTGATTGGATGTATGAGAGGAGATTGGGCAGAAGTTCAATTACCACAATCACCGCAATCATATATTAAAATTAGTTATGAGCTTACACATTGTAAACCAGCTGTATTTAAATTTCATTCGGTAAAATCAGCTATAAGAAGAAATATAATTAAGAATGAAATTGAAAAGAAAAAGATGATCAAAGTAGCAAAGAAACGTGAGGAAATGGAGAAAATAAAAGAAGCAAATCCTGGCATCGAAATCGATGAAGAAGCTTTCCTTAGTAATTACATTTACTCATTAATTTTATATAAAATTCTTAAAAATTACATATTTTTAAAACTTGTTTTATTTTTACAGTGGACTCCGAAGAGGAAGCACCTCTCCCAGAAATTTATATCCCAGAAATACCGAACAAAATTTTAATGATTCAATATACCAATCAAGAAACAGTTTGGTTATCAATGGCTGGTTTTGATGCAGGATATATGTATGAGTATCCAGTACCAAAAAAAGACATAATTATAGGAGCAGAACCAATAAAATCAACTGTGATCTATGATGCGGATGATACAGAAATACGAAGTTGCCTTTCATAGTAAGCTGCACAAACACTAAAAATAAATTACAGGAAAAATGAACATAAACATAAAAGTAGGTACATTGCGATCATGATTTTTTTTCATTTTAGTAAACAAGACAAATATTTGTTTTTGGGTATGGAACGTGGTGAAATAAGAGTTTGTAAAATTAATCCACAAGATCATAGCGATCTTTCAGATTATTGGATTTTACCTATGCATGACAATTACAATGGATACATACCAAAAATGTTACTCAGTTATGATCATAAAATGTTTCTTACATGTGGGTATGATGGAAATCTTTTTTCTTATAAAATCAATGATAATACTGCTGATGAAATAATAGAAATACCAAAACCAAACATACCTGTGCGATTGGTAAAGTTTTATTTAAATTTATATCCAATATTGTATGTAAATAAATAGTTTATTTAAAAACTTCAAAATATAGTTGGATGATATAAACAGTGTGGAAGATATTGAAGAACCTGATTATCCTACTCTCGAAAATGTTATTGTAAAAACTGAACATGACAGAGTCTCAGCGCTAGCAAGAGAGAAAAAAGAACAAACTCTTCAGATATTACATGAATTAACTGAAGAATATTCCAAAATAATGGATAGGTATGTAATGTACTCATTACTTGCAAGTTAAATATAAAAGTGAAAAAAGAAATAATCCTTTTATTTCAATGGAAAAATAGGAATCGTAGTCTATTAAAATCACAGCAAATTCCACGCGAAGATTTGGAATTAGATCCACGAATCACTACTGATTTAAATGAGCAATTGGAATTGGAAATGGATTTGGTACACAGAAAAGAAGCATTTCAGATTGAAAAGAGTAAACTTGCTTTAAAAAAGCTAATGGATCATTTTATTGAACCTATTACTTGTGTACCTTTTGCTGTTTCTAAAATACTGTAAGAATATCCGTATATTTAAATGTTTAATCTTAATCACATTTTATAAAAGAATGATATATTACTAATTGTTACATTATAAATTTAGAAAACCGGACACAATGGTACACTCGATACGAGAACATAAATTGGATAGTAACTTTGATAATATTTATACAGAAGTTGTCAATTGCATTACAAGAAGTAAAAAACCAACAAAGTAATTTTATATATATATAGAGTGTTCTGTGACTGGTGATACAAGCAAACATGTAGAATTACTCTTACTTGTTTGTACCATCAATTATAGGACACTTTGTATACTTTAATAAATATTTGTATAAACACAAATGTATTATGTATATGCATCATCTTTTGATTCTTTAAATAGATGCATTAACTAATTCTTGTTTTAATATAAAATATATTATATATTTAATTTATATGAATAGAAAAGTGAAAGAAAAATTGGCCACAGAAGAAATTGAAGAACAAGAAGAACAAAGAGTAAGAGATGCAGAAAGCTTCCTCAAAAGTCTTAATCTTTCTGGTATAGAGCATAAGCTAAGCACACAAATAATTCATATGTTAGAAAAATATAAAACACGGAAAGCAAAATTGGAAGAACGTCAAAGAGAAGTTAATATAAAATTATATTTGTGATAAGACATATATATTATTATAAAGTAATCAGAAACATTATTTTATTCTTAATTTTTGTTGTAGTGGAATTTAATGTCAACAAAAAAATTTGATCCTAATATAAATCATGCAGATGATATAGCAGCTATTGAATTGGCAAAAAAAACAATCGGTGTATACAATCTGAAAGATTCACCACAATTAAATGTACAAAATCAGATAGAAAATTTAACGATGATAAAATACAAGCAATATTTAGATTGCAAAAAAAGGGTAAGTGTAATCATTATAAATATGTTATTGTGTGTGTGTGTGTTTTCATTTTAATAAAAATATTTCTTCTTATTAATAAATTATTTTAATGATAAATATGATAAAATATTAATGACACAGCTTCATCATCTACGTGATAATTTCAATACAAGATTAAAGGAAGTTCGAGAAAATAAGCAGGTTTTGTGTTCAAAAGTTGTGAAATTGAATAAAACGTTAAACAAAATTCATGCGGAGATACCCAAAAAAAATATTAAAACTTTACCCAATTTACCTATAATTGACAATGATATTGAATTTCCTGAAGAAAATTTAAAAGTATGTATGAAATGTTATAATTAGAGATTAATTTTACTAAAAATATTGATACAAAATTTTGTATAGTTTGAAAAATATATATCAATGGCGGAACAAGCAAAGGAAGCTAAACATTACAGAGAATCAATATTTTTATATGAAATTCCTGATTTAATGGATGATACAACGGATGAAGAATATGAAGTTTTATTGTTAAAAAATGAAAATATTCATGCAAGTGAAGAATTTAGCTTATCAAGTATTATAGATATACCTGAAAGGAAAATTAAAGTCAAATCACTTATTCATCCAAAGTTATCTCAAGGATTAGATTCTGCTGATTACGTCGAAACAGCATGGGAACGTGAAATGAAACAATCTCGTATGTTGCGTAAAATTTATGATCAAGATTGTATTTTACAATATATTGAAACTTCTTACAAAGAATTTGATAAACAATTGGACAAACTAGAAAAGGAAAGACTTGACATTATTACGGAAAGTGTATACGTAGAATTACACTTGCTAACGCTTCATCAGGAATTTATCATATTGAAAGATTACGAAACGAAAGAAACTTTATTAAAAAAGAATGTCAATGAAAAATTAGAAGAACAAGCTGCTATAAAACTAAAGGTTAATATAAACAAAAAACTTCATATCCCCTAAAATTCTTTGTTTATTTTTATAAAAAATTTTTATAAGGACTTATAAAACATTGCTTTAATATTTCTGATTATTTTATCAGATAAATACAACTAGTAATAAAATAGAACGTAAAAAGAAAAGTATTAACAGATCACAGGAATCAATAAAAGACATTTCTTACGAATATATGACGAGTATTAAAGATAATAAGTTTCAAGACTTTTTACGTAAAATATTTAAAAAGAAATTCAAATTGCCAAAAGAGCATAACGGTAAATAAATTATTTTCTGAATACAAAAAATAAACACGTTAGGATAATTTTCTATAATTAAATTATTTTCATTTTGTAGACTCTGAAACATCGAGTACTACAACGACTGAAACAAGTTCAGAAGAAGATGAAGAAGGAAGCGTAGACAGTAAAGATATTGGATTCATTTATTTTGATGAGAATATATGCCCTATAGGCTGTGACAAAGCGTTATATGATATGGCATTTGTTATGAGAGAAAAACGTTATGAATATGAGCATGAAATTAGAGAGGAATACAAGGCGATAGAAAAATTACAAAAGGAAGTGGAAATGGATACCAAAAAATTAAAAATCATTGATGATTTACTTAAAACGAATGTCGAAGAATTGGAAAAATTTATGGTAGATATAAAATAATATGGAGAATAAAAAATTTATTATAAAAAAAAAAGATCATCTATAATTATTTGATTACAGTTGGAGAAACAAAAGAAATTGAACGACATAGATGTAACGATAGTTCTTAAATTTCATCAATTGCAACATTTTATTAATTCTTATAGCGTGTCGAGCATACGAGAATCTATTATATTTGATAAAACAAAATTATCTCAATTACACGATAGAGTGGGAGAATTACAGCAAGAAACATACGACTTATACGCTAAACAAAAGTATACAAAAATTTATAATATGTAATATATTGTATATAAATAATAGAAATTAATATCATGATTTTATTTCAATGCATATTGCAGGGCCAATAAAGTTCATCTTTATAGAATGAAAATTGATTGTAAACATATGAGAAATGAAATTAAAAATTTAAAGAATGAAATAAAAGAAGAAATGAAAAAGAAATTTGGCAAAACAATATCATTAACGACTATGTATGAAACAGTATTACAAAGAATGATCTATAATATTAAAAGTGATTTAACAGAAATGATGAAATCATATGAAGAACAACTTAAATGTGTGTGTACACGTGAATAAATTATTTAGAATTGTATAATTAATTGAAATAAATTATTTTACATTTAATAATTATATTTTTTAGGTATTCAAGAAAAATATAATTCACAGCAAATGGTGCTAGGAAAACTTATCCAAGATAATACAGAAAAATTAAGTTTTTTAACTGTCCTAGAGGAAGAACAATTAACTCTTAGGAAGGTTTTGAAACAAGTTCCTATATCCGAGGTAAATATGACTGAAACATTTTGTATAGAAACGTTTAAATGATTTAAATCATTTTAGGAAGAAATGTTAAAAGTAGAATTGCAGTACAAAGCAGACATAGTCAAATTCGAGAACATTATTGCTCATCAAAAAAAACAAAAAGAAATATTTCTTACCGATATAAAAAATCTTAGTATGAAGACTGGAGTGCTACCTTCTATTTGTAATAAATCTGATAACAAAAAATCTTTGAACGAATATGAACGTGATAGTGAAATAAATAAATTTGTAACTAATGCAGGTAAGAACAAATATTTTGTTTAATATTAAATACGTGCGGATTAATCTTCTATTTTAAAATTTATAAGATATAGAATAATTGTTAACAGTGTTAAAAAATATATTTGTGTAGAAAACTCAAGTTATCGCGAAATAATCATGCCATTCTTAAACATTAGAGAAAACAATTTGGCTGCATTGGTTTGTATTATTTTTCAAATATTATTCATTATATTTATAACTGTTATAATATATAATAAAATATAAATAATAGGTTCACTATCTAATCTCACGAGTCATAGAATCGTTGTTGGGAACAGAACAAGCGAAGGAATTAAAACAAGAAAAATTTGAAGAAATTCTATCAACTTTCACAAATATCAGTAATATTGAGGAAGTTCAAGATAGAATTAAATTGATAATCGAATATGTTGAAAACATTCTACCAGCTAATGAAATAGAAACAATAGAGATCGTGCATGAGGCGATTAAAGAAAGTTTAAATGATATTATACAAAGGTTTACTATTGACATTAACAATTAAGACATTAGAAAATAGAATCAATCAAGATCAGTTTCAAATATTATATTCTATTTACAGAAAAATAACTTTTGATGTAAATATGAAAGACAATTTATAGAAAGTGATTACATAAAATAAAATAAACATTCAAGAGTAATCTAATTTTAACGAATCGAGATCGTTATTCAAAAAAATGTAAAGTTCTTTTATTTTATAATTTAATATAGACATTTGTACATAATAGAATATACTTCTTTAGTTGGTGTATACAACAATTTAATTGTTACTCCTGTAATATTACCTAGTAATCTATGAACTAATTACAAGATAATATAATTTAACTTAATCATCGAGGATATTTTGCGTTATAAATATATACAAACTACTAGTTTTATTGTAACGTATTATTGTGTTAAGCTTAGAATTATTAATGTAAGGCTTTTTCTTAAACAAGGCACAAAATTGTCAAGAAAATTTACTGTTTCAAAAGTTATTAGTTATATATATATTGGTAACATCGTATCGCATCATTATTGTTAAATTATTTTTAGGATTTATATATATACTATAGATGAAAATAAAATAAAAAAAGGAATCTTTTTTGTTATCTTAAAATTAATGAACAAAAAAAAGAACAAACGATAGAAAACCTTCGAATAATTATAAAAATATTTCTAATACATTTCGTTTCTAACTACTTATCGTTATTTTTAAAAAATATTACATTAACAATTCATTTAAAAATTATCAATATAAATAGATTGCTTGATATGTAAAATCAAAACTTTGTACAATAAGAAAATAATTATGTTAATTAATTTCTTTAACAATTGTAGTAATATATATAAGATAAATAAGTAATAAATCAGTAGGAAAAATCAATGCAATCTCGTACTCGTAATGTAAATTTGATTAAAATTTAATATTAACACTTTGGCATCGGGGCGTTTCGAGCCGAACTTTACGCAAGACCGGGAAAATTTCGCGATTTTTGTTTTAATCGCATTATATTAAAAAAAAATTGGTCTAACTTAAAATCAATAATATTTTGTAAAAAAATTTTGAGGAATGTAGTAAATTATTGTATCGTATTATAATATATATCTTTTAAAATGCAATTATCAGGGGTTTTCAACCTAATGTGGTAGCTGTTTATTTCTAAGCAAAAAATATATGAAAATTTCAATAACATAATTTCACGTCATCCGATCGCTATCAGAAAACAGATATTATACATATATGTTATCCGACGCCAGTGTTAATTAAAATTGTCATGTATATTCGATAATTGTTACTGAAAAAATATCTTATATTTAATCTCCCTATCAATACTGCAACAAAAGAAAAAAAGAAATAACAATGTTTTGTAGTAAACAAAATTATTCAAATTGTGTATGTGTTGAATCATAACCACAAATATGAATAAATTTTGTCACTTCTTTGTGAAGCTCTTCAAAATAGGATAAATGTTATCGAAAGCTTCATAAATTTCTTGCCGGACCTTGGCACCTACAAAATTATTTAATTATAATTAAAAATTGGATTTAACACAAAAAATATATATATAAATATTTTCAAATACGATTTGTAACTTACCAGTAAGTACAACTTTACCAGACACAAATATAAGTAATACTATTCGTGGTTTAACCATTCTATATATCAAACCAGGAAATAATTCTGGTTCGTAGGAAGAGAATTGTCCATGTGTAAGTACCAAACCTTCTAGCCTAATAGGAAATTTAACGTCGCAACTTCCAACCATATTTTGTATCTTAAAGTCCAGAAATTTTGCCTAGATTTACAATCAAAAAATGAGATACCTATAATTAAAACATTTATTCTAAGTAATAATAAATAAATGGAATACTAACCGGAAAACCTAACTTTTGAATAATTCTAGCATATTTTCTCGCTGCCAAACGAGAATCTTCTTCGCTTTTAGCACCTGTACAGACCATTTTTCCGCTACTAAATATAAGAGCAGTCGTCCTGGGTTCTCTTATACGCATGATAACGGCTGCAAATCTTTTTGGATTGTATTCGGCGTTTCTAGCGTGTAGAGCAATTTTTTTTAAATCTAATTTACAACTTAGATTTACGGTGGATACGATATTTCTGAAATATTATTACAAATATTATAATCTTGTAATTTTTATATCAGAAAGTCTAATACTATTAAGTACTGTAATTGTGGTAAAATCCCAGGGTCTGCGGAAGCAGGAGTCATAGGTGTCATAGGTCCTGGCGTAGATGGTCCTATAGATGATGGTGCGATAGGATTGTTCGGTCCTAAAGGAGACATCATATTTTGCTGTCAAAATTACAATAAGGAATTTTAATTTTGTATCTTCGCTTTAACCTTTGCACTATGATTTAACCATATAATATATTACAAGTTTCAAACATTGTTATAGTGTGAGGGATTAATAATGTAATTTGAATTTATTGTAATATACTATTTATCTTATTTATTTAATTACCGGTGTTTGTGGCTGCATAAGACTCTGAGGTGTAGCAAAAGACGGAGTTGGTGCGTAAGTATGCATGGTTTTCTGAGGCGTTGTAATCATGAGCATACTGCCCTGTACACTTGGGCTCATAGAATGTAATTGTTGCAGCTGATACTGCTGTGGTTGTTGCTGTGGTTGTTGTTGCTGTTGCTGTTGCAATGCATTTGGTAATATTTGTTGATCCTCTTCTGGCTGATGTAAAGGAGTACCAATGCTAGGTATACTGAACCCAGGACTTGGTAGCATTTGATCCATTTTAATTTTTTAATTAATATTGCCTTAACACAATCAATATTATTAATACAATGAACGATGGATTTTATATATTAATAATATCTCATAAACAATATTTCACACTTTTATTTTGATATGTATGAGTTTAATGTTTACTTAATAAGACCAATTAATGTGAAATGAATATTTTTCATCTTTTAATTAAAACAAAAAATATTTAATATTCTATAAGAATCCAATATTCATTCATAAATTCACTCATAGGTTATTATAAGTTTAAACGTTCTTTTTCTTTTTAATCCACGAACGTTAACGTTCCAAACGTTTATATTCCATTTGTTTACTACAGTCACACATAAAATTCTATTTGATTTATTACTGATACCAACCACATATGATTTTTCGCATATACAGCTGTATCTTACACTTTCAATAGTTATTGGTTAATGTAGGAAAAAACTATGTCCATATTTATGTGTCTACATAACTACTGGCACACGTCCTAGGGACTTTAACCTTAACCACAACAGAAGGAAGTTGATCTTTAAGTAATATAATTAAACATCAGTCGCGTAATAAGTAAAATGCAATTTCACCAAAAATTACATGGCACATCTTTTTCCTTTAGTGCTTCTTTCTTATATGTAATTAACTCCCAAAATATTGCAACTTGCACAAGAGAGTTGTGAATACAGCTTTAAGTAAATGCCGTTTAAATGAAAACTCAAACCGTCACTGGCTCAAGTCAGATTAGGTTAAACCCATGAAGTGATTGTAGTGTCAACCACGTAATCCGACATAAACACCTCGATAGATTTATGAAAATTAAATTATATTGATTAGAAGTGTAATATACTAATAAATACAAAATGTTTCAAAAATTTAAAGATAAACTTGCCGAGGAGATGAAACAATCGCCTGCCAGGTTGCAGGCGAGTATGCAGCAAATGGCGCAGGTTGTTAACATTTTTATTATATTTCTATTTAAATCTATGATGTCAATTATTGTTCTCATATTAAATAATATTATGCTTTTAGGCAGTTATATCTCCAGCTCAGTCTAATAGTTCAATACAAGAATTACCAATAACAGTGGAAAGTAATGACTTAACCAAAAAAACTGATGGTATATGTTGTCACTTTTACTTATTTCTAAAAATTTTTATATTGCATAAGATAAATTTATGATAATCTAAAAGTACTTTTTATGTTTGTTTATATAAAGGGTGTCCCATTATTGTTTCATAATATTTTAACAGTATATTTTATAAGTAAAATACTAGGGCAACTTCTATATGTCGCTAATCAATTTGTTATTTTGATAACTATACGATACAATTAGTTTACGTATAATATTTATAGATTCTGTCAAAAGTAATTCCGTAAAAAACACATTTCAAAATGTTGAACTTGTATCACCATTATCCAATTCAGTAGACGCATCTAGAAGATCATCTGTAAACAGTGTAACCAGTGATGTCAGTTCTTTATTTCCGCTTTACGAAAGTCCTAAAAATCTATATCATATACAGGTAGAATTATGAAATATTTTATAATAATACATGTGTATTTATTATTAAAAGTAGTATAAAAGACAAATAACGTATTCAAGGAAATATTATTATTTTATTTGTAGTCAGATATAGATCAGTCTGCGACTGAAATAGATGATGACATAAATACGCAACTTGATAGAGTTACCAAAGATCAATTATATTTGGCATATAAAAAAATTCAAGGAAAATATAATAAGTACCGTGGACGATACACAGATTTAGTAAAACATTATCGAGATCTCGAACGAGTTAAAACAAAATTAGAATCTGTTTTGGTTGAAACGCAAGATAATGTATTAAGAAGAATTGGAGATTTAAAAGAACAATGCCAATTAGAACAACAAGCTAAAGCACATTTAGAAGAAGTATTAAGAAATGATATTGAAGAAAGAAATCATATTATAGATACCTTAAATACAAAGGTGATACATTTCGAAAAATTTTCTATATTTATAAATGAACATATGCATATAACATAATTAACAAGAGGAGATCCAAGGTGACACAGGATACCAATTTATTTTAATTCTACACAGTTGTAGGCGTCCATCAGGATCAAACACTGTGCAAACAGTAAAATCCAATACTTAACTTTTTCAAAGAAAACGAAGAGAGAAATTTCACATACACTTTTATATACCAGTTCATTTCGGATGGAAAAATACATTTTTTAGCGTTTAATTAAAAGAAAAAAAAATCATAGAAAAAATATAAATAGGTAATAGACCCATGATGGACCCCTACAACTGTGTAGAATTTTTGTAAAAAAAGTTTCCTGGCATCTTGGCTCTCCCCTTACAAGAGTATGCTATATTTTTACAAAACGTAATAGCATTTTGTATAACTTGTATTATATGAAATAATTATTGCAGATTAAACTTCTTCAAGGAAATACACCACCTTCAGAAAATTTAATGCTATTAGACAACGACGAAGGACATAATAGTACCGTCGAAGTTATGGAACCGAATAAAGAGTTAACTGAAAATGCAGCTGATAATTCTGAATTGGTAGCTGAAAATGCAATACTTCAAAATAAAATAATTAAATTAGAAGCAATAGTAACAAAAAATAAGAATACTTTAAAACGATGTGAAAATTTAATGAAAAGATATAAGGAAATACTAGAGGAAAATAATATATTAAAACGTGATTACGAAGCTTTAAAGTCTTCTAGTTTAGAAAACGCAGAGGTTTTGCAGAAAGAATTAAGTATATCGCAGAATGAAGTTTCAAATTTAATGGAACAAGTGAACACTTTAAAAAGGCGTGAGGAAGAATCCGTAATATCTCTGGCTGAAAATAAACTTTCAATTCATAGAGAACTTGAGGGTAAAGAGGAGCAAATAAAACGACTTCAATTTGATTTGAAACATACTATGGAAAGTAAAGAAAATCTAACCGAAATTGTTGATAAATATAAAACGGAATTACAGCAATTGAAAACGCAATATAACATACCAAATTTGGATACGGATAAAACAGATAATATTCAAGATACATCGAAAGGTAAATTTTTCTAATATTTAGCATATAACATTAATATTATTTTCTACTGAATATAATAATTTGTTTTTAAATAAATTACAGGTGATGCAGAGAGTATAGAAAGTAATAATACCTCAAAAAATAAAAGCGATACTTTAAATGAAAATGAAACATTGGACAAACTAAAACATGATCTAACAGAAAAGGAAGAAGAATTACAAAAAATAAAAGTAATTTTACAAGAAACCCAGACACTTTCTAAAGAGTATCAATGCAACATGGAGACACTCCAAAATGAATTTTCAAACTTAAAAATCAAATATGTCGAATTAAAGAAAGAACAAGACGCGCAAACAATTATTACTAATGAAAAAAAGAAAGAAGCTGAAACGACTATTGAAAAATTGCAAATGACCGTACAAAGTCTCGATAAAGAATTAGAAAATATGAGATTCGCTTTATCAGACAGAGATCAAGTATGCGAAACTTTCAATTTGAAAATGCAAGAATATGCATCGATGTTAGAAAAAGCTAATAACAAATTATCGATAAAGGATCTAGAAATAAAGAAACTTAACGATCAATTGTCTAATGAAAATGAAATAACTAAATTAAATAATACGATAGAAAACAAAGATGCAGAATTAACTGAACTCAGTAACCAATTAAAAAATTATAAAGATGAAATTAATAACTTAACCGAACAAGTAGATGAAAAAAATTCCAAAATAGATTTACTTAATAAAGAAAAAATATCCTTTAAAAGTCAACTCCTATGTTTTAAAACAAATACGGAGAAATTGAAAGAAAATTGCATGTATCTGAGAAATAACGTTAAAGAAATATTTCAGAATCATAATGAAAAGATAAGTAATTTGGATAGAATTATAAACTTCTGTTTAAAAAATACTTTGATGGAAAAGGAAAGCCTCAAAGAAGAAGTTGAAATTCTTCATACAAAATTAAAAATGTCGGAAGAACAAGTTAATAAATTGATCGAAGTAGAAACAGAATTAGTGAAGATTAAGCAGCAGAAAACGGATTTAATGCATGAACTAAATGAATACAAGACGAAAGTAAAACAAATCGAATTGGAAAGGCATGATAAATATAATATTGAAATGAGCAGATATATAGCCGAAATAGATAATTTGAATTCTAAAATACACGATCTACAAGAAATACAAGCTTTAACAGAGAAGAAGAAGGAAGATGAAGTAGAACATTTGAAAAGAGAAATGATAGAATTTAAAAAGAAGTATGAAGATGCTACGAATATAATAAAAACGTTGGAAAATAAAAAATCTGAGTGTAATTTACTGCAAGAAGAATTGGAACGGTTAAAATCGGAAATTGTACATTTGCACGACAGTAATACTAAAAATAATACCGAAATCAATGAACTTCGTGAGACAATATTGAAAAAAGAATCAGAAATGGCTGATTTGGAAATAAGATTTCAAGACCATGTAAAATTGGTCAAAGAATATGCAAAAAAAAATGAAGAAATAGAAGGAATTTATCAAGACGCTAATAAGTATCATGAGGAGGAAGTTATGAAATTAAATGATTTAAATAATACCTTACAAAAAAGTTTACAAAAAATAATTGATACAAAAGATGTCGAATTGAAGAAATTACAAGAAATTAAAGAGCAACAAGACAAGAAATTACTATTTTGCGATAAAAGAATAGAAGATTTAACCGTAGAACTCGATGAATTTAGAGCTGAAAATTTAAATATGTCGCAAATGATAGAAAGATTTTCAAATGAAGTTAAAACACTAGAAGATGAAAATAATCTATTAGAGAAACTGAAAACTGAAAATGAATTAATGAATGTTGAATTAGTAGAATTAAAATCAATTTTAAATAAATTTAGAGAAGAAAATAAAAATTTAAAGGTAAAAAATTCTCAGCTTATACAATCTCATGAAGAACTTCATAACATTAAAGAAACCTTGGAGTTTAAAGAATTAGAATATCATAAAAAAAAAAAAGAATTTTTACACGATCTCGAAATTAGTAACGACAGATTGAATATGGCGTGTGAAAGATCAAAATTGGCTAGAAATAAATTGGAAGAAACAAATGCTAAAGTGAATTCTCTAACGAAAGCGTTACAAGAATGTGATGAAGAATTACAGAAAACAAAAAAAGAATTAGAAGAACAAACTCTATTATTAAGTGATAAAACTACCGAATTAACTGAACATTTAAAACATATACAATCATTGGAAATAAGCAAAACTGAACTTACTGAGCATATAACAAAGTTAAATGAGCAGTTAACAAATGTAAAGGCTACGAACTTAAACAACATTCCATTTAAACTTACGAATGAAACTCTAACGTATCTTCAAATAAAGAAACTTAAAAATGGAGAGCTTGTTCTGGACGAACATCTTGCTAACTTGTTGGCTTCTACGGTTTTAAATCTGGATGCAGAAAACAAGCGTTTAACGGATAAAATCAAACGTATAGAAAATATTATGGAACAGGAAAATTTACAATTTAAATTATTAGAAACAAATGAAGAAAATCTGTTAAAAGAAAATGAAAAATTAAAACTTTTAAATATGGAAGAAGAACTCGATCAAAAAATAATAGAAATAGATACGTTAAAAACTACAATCAAAGAACAAGAGAACCAAATTAATAAATTACAATCGCAAATAGAATCATTGAAAGATATCAACTTACAAACGGCGGATAATTATAATACCGTAAAACAAAATCTTGTCGAAAGAAGTAATCAATTAGAAGAGGAAAATAAAAAATTACAAGCAGAATTGGATGAAGCAATAATTACATTACTTGCCAATGAATCGCAAATGCATATGATCAATACAGAATTAGAAGATAAAACAGATCAATTGCAGAAAGAATTAGAAACGCACGAGGAAGAACAAAATATTAGATTGAAACAATTGGTTAAAGAATTCCAAGCTCAACTGCAAGATAAAGAAGAGGAATTGCAATCAGCATTGGAAAAACGTTTTGGTAAGTTAATGTTATTTTTATATTTCTACAAAAATAACCAAATATAAATATATATGCATTTATTTATTAAATTTAAATAGATTACCAACAGAGTTATGAATCCAATCTTGTACAACAATACAAGGAGCAATTAAAAGATTTTCAAGTTGAATTAACAACTAAATCGGAACAACTTGAAAATCTTATTTTAGAAAATAAAAAGTTGACAGCAGAAAAAGAAAATGAAGTAAAAGCTTTAACGGAAAGTATCACATCTGTTAGAAAAGAACATGTAAATGAACTCAGAGAAACTGAACAAAAATGGAAAACTATTTTACAACAAAGAAGCGATAGATTAGAAACTAAACATGAAGAAGAAATCAAAGAATTAACGAGGGAGTGGAGGAACGAAAGAAAGGTATAAATATACGTACATTACAGTTTCACCCGATTGGATATTTTTACCGATCTGTTGCTAAAAGTTATTTAAAGCATCTATATCATTTATTTTTACTATACTTTTTATATTTTCATTTGCAAGTTACATATTTTTTTTCTTTGTCCTTTTCTTTATAGATTATTTTTCTTTTATGTATTTTTTAAGTTTTGCTTTTATTTTCTAATTTTTCTTTCATTCCTATTTTAGCTTGACACAAATACTGACACAGCAACAGAGGTAACATATTATTTTAAATATTAATATGTTAACAAGTTGTACTTTAAAATGGCACTTAATTTAATTTAACACTTTATTTGGATATAGGAATTGGAAAATACTTCTTGTATAGCAATGGCTGCAATACAATCAAATACTGGTTCATTTCATACGTTTCAACAAACATTGGCATCGCAAAATCGTGAATTAACCGAACTCAGGAAATTAGTTAAATTGAGGCATGAAACTTTAGAAGACTCAACAGAAATAGAATATCTTAAGAATATTTTATATGAATATATGATGGGAAAAGAAACAATGGTGCTTGCTAAAGTTATAGCTGCAGTCGTCAAATTTGATCAAGAGCAAACGGCAAAAATACTTAAAAAGGAAGAAGACAAATTAACACTGGTATGCATAATAAATTACATTATTGACAAATTTTTAAATAATATAAAAAAAAAATATTTTATTTTATTTTTTATTTTTTTGTCAATTATACTTGACAAATTTTCAAATGTATTTTTCTCAAAAACAGTCTTATATGAACAAATTTTATTGTATATTTTGGAGTTAACTTTTCATGTAGAATCACGCCCTATTCGTTTGTACCACCGAATATAGGACACTGTATATTATATTATTATTATTTATTTATACTCCGTCCCTTTCGGGTTTGGAGGGACACTGTATATTATATATATATGCTAAAACGATTACAAATTTGTTCATAATATTATAATTATACACTATTATTTTTCAGCTTGGATCACTTGGCATTACATAGGATACAATAATATAAGATAACTAAAAGTAAGTATATAATATGACAATTAGGCAATATCACGAAATCAAGAACTATATTTATTTGGTTAATGAACCATTTAAGAATGCTCTTTTGTTATTATA